AGGTGCTGGCTGCTGTCTACAAGGCTCTGAGTGACCACCACATCTACCTGGAAGGCACCTTGCTGAAGCCCAACATGGTAACCCCAGGCCATGCCTGCACCCAGAAGTATTCTCATGAGGAGATTGCCATGGCAACTGTCACAGCACTGCGCCGCACAGTGCCCCCTGCTGTCCCTGGTGAGGCTTACCCTCATCTTGGCCTCTGGGAGGTAGACTAAATTGTACCCACAGCCCTTATCCCCATTTGGTTTGATTTTTAGGACAGCTTCTAGGGGCTCCTAGCAACCCCATGGGTCTCTGACCACATCCCTCCCCCTCTCTCATCCCTCGTTCTATAGGGGTCACTTTTCTGTCTGGAGGCCAGAGTGAGGAGGAGGCATCCATCAATCTCAATGCCATCAACAAGTGCCCCCTGCTGAAGCCATGGGCCCTGACCTTCTCCTATGGTCGTGCCCTCCAGGCCTCTGCCCTGAAGGCCTGGGGTGGGAAGAAGGAGAATCTAAAGGCTGCTCAGGAGGAATATGTGAAGCGAGCCCTGGTAAGGATGGGGCAGGATGTGGGCAGGGTACCTGGGTAGACAGAACTCTGAGAAGAGAACTTCTCACTCTGGCTCCTCTCCCCTTTTAGGCTAACAGCCTCGCCTGTCAAGGAAAGTACACCCCAAGTGGTCAGGCTGGGGCCGCAGCCAGCGAGTCTCTCTTCGTCTCTAACCATGCCTACTAAGCAGAGGTGTTCTAAAGCTCCCCCCTCAACACTCCAGGCTCTTCCCCCTCCCACACTTGAAGAGGGGGCTTATCCAGAACCCCAGGCAGTCTTGCCCATTGCTCTTGCCTCCCATGTGACAGTGGTGTGTGGTGTTGTCTGTGTATGCTAATGCCATCACTCTTTCCAGCCCACTGCCAATAAACAACTAAGGGGGAGTCTTTTGTCTGTGTCTTGTGGTACCTGGGGCAGGGGAGGACCTAGGGAGGTGGCGGAGGACCTAGGGAGGTGGCAGAGCCCAAAATAAAACTTGTTTTGTGTTCTTCCTTTCTGGGTAGGAAAAGCATGAAGAGTTGAAAGGACTTTTCTCTCAGTTTTATACTTGCCCAGGGCTTTGAAAAAGACAGGGAGCTTGTGAAGTTTTCTTCTAGCTCCTACAGACTTCATCTCTTCTACTAGCAGCACCTGATGCGGCTCACAGTTGGGGTGCAAGGATCAAGCTTTAGGAGGCTAGGGTCTTACTTTTAAATCTGGAACTCAAGGGTACAGAAGGCTTCTATGACAAAATAGGCCACTGATAAGAGTTAACCTTTCTTAAGTGCCATGAGCTGGGCATTGTTCTATTTGAGTAGGTGTTATAGTTCCCAATTTACACTTAAGGCTCTCTTTGCCCAAGATTGTCCTGATGGAAACAATTATCAGTGCAAATCTCCTGAACTTATACTACTAGGTTTTGTTTCCCCAAATTAGCAGGAGGTGGGGATTGAAATGGTCTTCTTGGCTTGGCTCAGGTGGCTAAGGCGCCAGCCACATACACCTGGGAGTTAGCGGGTTCGAATCCAGCCTGGGCCTGCCAAACAATGACAGCTGCAACTGAAAAATAGCCAGGCGTTGTGGCTGGTGCCTGTAGTCCCAGCTACTTGGGAGGCCAAGGCAGGAGAGCCCAGGAGTTGGAGGTTGCTGTGAGCTGTGATGCCACTGTACTCTACCCAGGGCGACAGCTTGAGGCTCTGTCTCCAAAAAAAAAAAAATGGTCTTTGGGAGTGTGGAACCCCATGAAAAACTTAAATCCTTTCCAACACCCTCCTCGACAATGCAGCTACAAAATGCAGAGGCTCCAGGTTATGAACAGCCTCTGTAATAGCTGTGTTCCGTGAAGCCAGAATGAGGGTTCCACGCTTATGAGGGCCCCTATGCCATGTCTTGAACCCTCCCCTGATAACCCAGGTTGAGGTGTATGTGGCAGTAACTACACAAGGTCTTAGTTGATATAGATCCTAGCCATAACTAGAAAACTAGTCCTGCCATTTCCTAGATTTCCTGCAAATTTTCTCATTCCCAGCCTTTCCCTTTGATTTCTGAGCTCCTCTCTCAAATTTTGACCTTTCCAACTGCTCTCGACCAACAGAATCCTTGCAGTGATCTATGTAGAAGTGACTTACCTAGGGCCTTCTAGGAGTTTAAAAACTTGTTCTGGCTTGGCGCCTGTGGCTGAGGTGGCTAAGGCGCCAGCCACATACACCTAAGGTGGGGGGTTCGAATCCATTCAGGGCCCGCCAAACAACAACGTTGTCTGCAACCAAAAAATAGCCGGGCGTTGTGGCGGGCGCCTATGGTCCCAGCTACTTGGGAGGCGGAGGCAGGAGACTCGCTTGACCCCAGGAGTTGGAGGTTGCTGTGAGCTGTGAGGCCACAACACTCTACCCAGGGTGACAGCTTGAGGCTCTGTCTCAAAAAAAAAAAACTTGTTCCTTCCCTGTTCTGCACATTTGCATCAGTTACCTACATCCAAAACCAAACCCATCTCTAGTACCCCTCCAAACTTTGGCATCATTTCTCTGCCTACTTAAGCTCACAACTCTCTGGGAAACAAAATATGAAGTAAATAAAAATGAAGTGTCAGTGAAAGATGGATGATCTCCAAAAAAGAAGCATCATGTTCAAAAACTCAGAGATTGGAGAGGTTGTTTAAAGATCAATAGCCCCCTTTCCTACAGCAAAAGAGACTAGAGAAGCAGAGGACTTCAAACACTAGTTTGGAGAGTTCTGGACTTCCCAATTTTATGACAGCCTGAGTTCCAGAATGTGAATGATAGAAAACTAGAATTGAGAATATAGCTTTTCTGGATTCAATTTCAACCTTGAATCAAATCCCAAATTGTTAGCTATACAACCAATGAACAAGTTACTTAAGAGCCAGTTTTCTCCATTTAAAAAGGGATTGAAACTTTCAGGCGTTAGAAAGCAAATGAGGTATAGACAGCTTGTTGAGTGGCTCAGGGGATCCCAATCCAGATCTCTTCCTATGATCCCAGAGAAATGTTAGCCATGGAGGTCCTCCGAGTTAAAAGGCAGAAAGGAGTCCACCCGTGCCTCGGTCAGCTTGACTTCTCTGATTTCGAAATTGACCATTAAGCACTGAGGCTACATTGTTGCACAAAAGTTTTTAATTTCTCAAGGATAATGGGGAAGGCAGACGCAAACACAAACAAAAATGTGTAAAATTACAAGGCCTATGCCCAGCTCAGCCTCCGTCTGTTTCTTTAACTAAAGCGGGAGGGGACCGATCTGGAGTCTAACAGCCCTTACTTCGCCATTCTGGGTAACCAATAGACAGTGGTACCCTTACGGTGCCAACTCGCAGTTCCTCCAGCTTTTACCCATTCTTGGCTCCGGAGGAGGTACCGAGGGCACGCTGAGGGAGGGGGAGGAGCGTGTATGACGCCACATCCGGCGCGTGGCGGAACTGGCCTCCTTTTGCTTCCGCAGCGGGGCCGGAAGTAGAAGCGGCGGTGGCGGCGGCCCAAAGCGGAGGGAAGGAGGGAGGCAGGGAGCCCGAGAGCCGGAGCCGGAGTCGCAGCGGCGGTAATAGTCGGAGGCCCTTCTAGGCCACCGTCCTTAGCGCGGGACCGCGGAGTTCGACGGGAGTTAGCGGGTGTGCGGCCAGGCCATAGTAGGACACTAGGGCTCCGGGGGCCGATGTGAGGGGAGGCGGGGTGGGGGGGGCCGGGCCAGCCCTAGAATCGAGTTGCCCCCCCCCGCGCGCCCCGCACGGACACTCTGATCCGCGGGCTCGTCTTGGCCTTCCCCAGGAGACCCCTGTGCGGCGCGGAGGGGGCGGCGGCCCCGTCTCTGACCCGCGCCGGGGGGTGGGCCATGGCGGAGATCAGCGACCTGGACCGGCAGATCGAGCAGCTGCGGCGTTGTGAGCTCATTAAGGAGAGTGAAGTGAAGGCCCTGTGTGCTAAGGCCAGGTGAGCCCGGTGGTGCCAGAGAAGGGAGACCAAGCCACCGCCCAATGGTTCTAGCCTGCGGCAAACACTGCTCGGAACTTTGGGCTTGCCCCATCCTGGAAGCCTTCCCGGAGAGGAGCAAATAGGACCACTTCCCTCCAGGAACAGCTAGCCTGCTGGGAGAAGGCCGAACCAGATTAAGACAGTTAAAGTTTTAGATGATGTGTTTCCATTGGGGTAAGAGTTATAGGATGCTTAGGAAACTGATGGTCAAACAAGCCCATCTGTCTGAGGGGAACAGAGACTTTCTGGAGGAGCTGAACTCTCGGACAAGTCGTGAATAAGGAGGAAGTAAAAAACTATCAGCTATCAGCAAGAGCAGGGGTTCGAGCCTGTAATTAAAATTCTTTTAATTTTAACAGCAGTCCTTAAAGATAGGTGATAGGTATTGTTCCCATTTTACAGGTTAGAACTCTCATGTTCAAAGTTACCAGTAAGTAAGAGATGGAGTCTGAAAACTTTTCTCAGTGTCCTATCCCTTTTCAGGCCATATTGCAAGAAGGTGGAGCATTCCAAGCAGAATAAGAATAGGAGTGGAGGCCCTAAGATGTGTGGGCAGCAGTGAAGAGGCTAATTACCTGCTTCCTCTGGGGAACTGTTTGGCTGTCGCCAGGCTGGAGAATTGTGGAAGAGCCAGCTGAATTACCCCATGTTTACTGAACAATAGGCTTACTATTAGCCTCGCCTTATACTGGCAAAAAACATATCCATTTCCTCCTCCTAGTGATTCTGTTGAGATTGGAGTCATTTGCTGCATTTTACAGAACAGAAAGCCATGACTTGTACAGACCTAGTGACCTGACTGAGGTCATCCAGTGAGGAAGTGGTGTAGCTGGGTTCTGAATCTGTAGCTATCAGACTCTGCTTGACTCTGCCTCACACAGACTCCCTGCAGCAAAACAGGGCCTGTAAGGGTTTGATGGACAGGCTAGGCTTCTTTTTAAAGGTGTGTCTGTGGCTCTTCTTTAGCCAGCTCAAGGAAATCTTCCTGAACAGATGAAGTGTTTTTAGTAGTCCCCTCTCCCTCAGTCTTGATTGGCATTTTGGGGAACTTAAACCAATTGCTGCTTGAGGCATACCCCACTGAGTTTTCCCCGTAAGTCTTATCACTTTGACAGGGCCTGGATTGGTGTGGTGGTGATGATAGATAATGCTTGGATATCATCCTGGAGTTTTCAGACTAATAGAGAAGTTGTGTATTCAGACTCTATGGCTTTTTGCAGCAGCCTTATGGAATAGACAGGATGAGGGTATTTACCTCATTTCATGGAAGAGGAGACTGAGCCTCAGAGTAGATAATGTCTTGCTTAATGATGTTGGAGGGGAAGTTAGTTTTGCATCCAAGTATTTGACTATGCCCCATGGTTACTGATAACCATATAGTAACACTTAGTTTTTGATGTGGGGTGAGCAGGGAGCTATGGCATACGGAGAGGAGTGGAGAGTCCTGTCCAGCTGAAACCAGTATGGAGCTAGGAGGTACTGGGCTGAGACCTGAACTGGCTACTATTTCCCAGGCTCAGTCTAAAGAAGAAATGACTATAGCACTTGGCTGTGGCCTCCTGGGAACTCACTAGACACCCAGGCTGAGGTCAGTAGTGTCAAGAGTGTCAGCTTGCCCAAATGGCACATAGACTTCCAAATCAAACCCTGGAACCATGGAGGCCTGCAGTGTCTGAACTGAAATTGCTTCTATTAAAAAAACTAGCATGTTAGAAGAGCAGAGCTTTTGAATCAGGTGGTCTTCGATATGAATCTCTGTTTTGTCACCCATGAATAGTATGGCCCTGGTCCAGTCACTTTACCTCTGAGTTTTTTTAATTCATCGTGAGGTGTAAATGAGATTCTAGATATCCAGAGGCAAGGCCTCATATGTTGGCAGGCACTTGCTGAAGATACTGTTTGTTGTGAAAGTAAAGGAGAGCAGC